AGACCATTGAGCTAGTAAAGTGCTTCCATCTAAAAGTCTTCTTCCCCTTTTTATACTCACAAGATGTTCTCAAGTCCTACCTTTCTTAGCTTGCTTCTTAATAAGTTCGAGAATCAACCATGAACACTTTTGAATCCAATATATCCAACCAAAAAACTCATCAATTTTATTATGGATGAAAAATAATTTATAATTTAAGTGAATGCAACCATCCTTTAAAATATCGATTGTATTGCTACATGCAAATTATGCAAATAAATGCTCGAAAAATCACATCCGAATTGGTCATAAACCATCAAATTTCGATAGGTTCTTAACGGGTCGACTCATATATATATATATATTCTTATATATTTATATTAACTTTGTGTACCCTTTTTATAATATTTTATTTATTTATTTATTATTATTTTTTATAAACTTTTTTAATTTTACAAATAAAACCATATTAGATTAGGGTTCATAAATTATCACTAATATCTTGAAATTAAAGCTACACCAAAAAGTATGAAGTTCAAGATTTACGTGATAAATCGCTGGTGAGCTAAAGCTAGATGAGCTAACGAGCAAAATTTGAACTAGTTGCAGCTTGACTCATTAGCTTACAAAACACCCTTAGAAGATATTAAAATTCGTAAATTTAAAAATAAAACTATTAAAATATTTTTCATATTTTTATACGATTGATTATTTTATCATTATCTTCTAATTTTTTTATTTCACTGGAAATAATATTATTTTTTTTCATAATAAATAAGTTAGCTTATGAGTCAACTTCAACTTATAAAATTGAGCTCGAGCTGAATTCCTGTTGATTCAATTTATCGAATTTGAGCTTAAATCGAGAAAGAATAAAATAAGACTCAACTTATTTACACCCCCAGGCTTCGTTTGCGATAGCTTTCTTACTGCTTTACAAAGCTGTTGTTGAGAAAGTAAATTTTTTAAAGTTATTGTTAAAAGCAAAGGAGTTCGGGTTCTCCCAGAATTAATTTTTGAAGTTTCCAACTAGCTTTTGCCTCGAGATTCGTGCCCGATCAAGCTAATTTTGCATGACGTATCAAGAATAATGAAATAACAAAAAAAAAAATTTATAATTAAGATCTGAAAACAAAGACCCAATTGAACCCTTAATTACACCTTAGCCTTCATGTGTTGCTTTATAGCTACTCCATGTGGTTCATTGGATTTAGTATAATAGGTCAAACAGAAAGCTTAACAGGTAAGTTACTTAGGTAGAGAAAAGGACAAATGTGTAATAAATGAATTACATAATTGACAATTTAAAAAATTATAGTTTGGTGTAGGTGTAGCTTACACCATTCATCCACATTAAATTGATTGGGTAGAGATGGGGTGCAATCGAGCCAAGCTAACTCCGGAGCCGGTTCGGGCTTGACTCATTAACGAGCTCACCAGTCGAGCTTATCGAGCTCACGAGTCTAGCTCAAGCAAAATTTCGAGCTCGTTGTATAATTGAACTTGAGTTTGATCCGACCAAAGCTCGGCTTGATTGCTCACGAGCCAACTCGGATGCCTGGCGGGAACCCCAAATATCAGTCGGGATTCGAGAAGCTGGGAGCGCCAAATGTCGGGCAGGAATGCGGATGCCTGGAGGGAACTCAAGTTCGGACTCGATTTTGCTGGGATGCAGAAGAGGATGCGATGGAGCTCGAACGAGCTGCTCGACGAGCTTGTTTCAATGGCACGAGCTTAGCTCGACTCAAGTTAGAGCTCTAGATTTGGCTAGTGATCAGTCGAGCTTGAGTCAGGCCAACTTATTTGCACCCCTAAGTATAGACTGCAAAAATAAGTGCTTTCAATTGAAAGGCATGTTAATTTCATATTTATGAATTGAATTTAGGTCTAACTTGAGATTGATTGATCTGAATATGTTTAATCGGGATCCGACCCATCAATCATACGAGTTAAATTTTTTTAATCAACTCAACTAATATGAACCAAGCCCATTTGACCCATTTATCATATAGATCATTAGTTCTTATTAATTTTTAGATAAGCATAACCCATTTAACCTAAATACGACCAATTAAATCAAAATTTGACTCATTTAATCCCAACTTGAATGATAGTTGAGTCAATTTTAAATTTTCAGGTCAAACAGAACTTGATTCGAAAATTAATCGGGTCGGGATTTTGAAGCGATTAATTTTGGTGTTTTAATGAATCTTTATTAAAAACAAATCTTGATGATTGTGACTATTTTTTTAATAAATGTTAGCAATTTTGTTGGATTTAAAATATTTGTATTATTTTTTTCATTAAGCCCAAAAGAAGTCGTCTGCGTGCAAGCTTCAAATGCATAAAATTAAACGTTATGTACGATTTTAAATAATTTAATAAATAATTATTTTATTTTATTTGTAAATTATTATTATACTATTAAATTTTTAGAATGACGTGTACTAAATGATAATATTTTAATATTAGATTATCTAAAGAATATGTAATTTTATGATATAAATAGAAATAAAATAATTATCAAATTGAATTTTACAAATAAAGTTTCCAAATTTTTAATTTATGCATAGTATTAAAAATATGCAATATTGTTCTTAATTTGTATATCTAATATGAGTGAAAAATAGATTAACATAATTATAAAATATTATTCAATTTGACAATTAAAAATTATGATGAATATATAACATTTTAAAAAATAAAAATTTATCAGAATATTCATATATAAATTATATCAGAACAAACTTAAAAATCATTAAATTTATAATAATTTTAATATTTTATAACAAATTCAATAAATTTTAAATTCATTTTAATACAATTTATATCAATTTTAGGGTTTATTTGAATTAAACATATTAATTATATATATAATAATATAAATGACTTTTAAACAAAATTAAAATAGTAAAACAATTTCATCAAAAATATTTAGTTATAAATTAAATCAGGATGGACCTAAAATCGAAATTTTCTATTATTGTTTAAAAAAATTTAATAATTTTTAAGTTCATCCTAATATAATTTATATTAGAATACTTTAATGTAATTTAGTTTAAAAAAATAATAAGGTTTGGGAAAATTTTGATTTATTTTGATTATAGTATTAATTATTATTTGGTAATTAGTAAATATGAATAAATTCATTTAAAAATAAAAATAACTAAAGATTATTCAAATAATATTAAATTAAAATTATATCAAATTTCCCAAAAAAATATTATATAAATATATTAGTCTTTTAAATCATTAAAATCCCATTAATTTCATACACAGCTTCAATATCTCTTAATAACATAATACTTAAAAACAATTTTTTTAAAATAACAAGATATGAAAAAAACTTTTGATTTTTTTTGTAATAATAATTAATTATAAATTTGAATTAGAAATTATAAGGATAAATAGCATTTGAAAATAAAAAAATAATTAAAATTATCAAAATATTATATAAGTTATATAAAAAGGGCTTAAAATCATTAAAATCAAACTAATCTCATAAGCAAATCCAATAACTTTATATTCTTATATAATTTATTTGAAATATTATCATAATTTTATCTTAAAAATAAATAAAAATGAGAAACATAGTTATTTATCTATATTATAATATTAATAATAATTTTATGCAAAACTATTGAGGTAGATAGTGAAAGCTTCCTATATACAAGAATAATTTTTTTAATAATATTAGTATTAATTATAAAATATACATTGTATTAATTAGATGCAATAACAACAACAATAATAACTATCCTCTATCTCACAAAATCAAAATTATTTTTTTACTCCATTGAGCCAAATTCTCATTTAATTCTAATAAAAAATATAACTAATAAATTCTAATTTAATATTTCTAAGTCTATATTCATCTTTCTTAATATAAGGTCATCAATAGAGATGTCAATAAATAATATGACCTGACACCATATCAGACTCAACTCTAAAAATTCGGATATGAGCTGACTTGTTTAATTAACATTATAAGTTCCGATCATGCATTCCAACCTGTTTATAAAACATGTCGGATTCGGGTTGATCCATCAACAAATTCAATATTTTTTCTTCAAATTCTTTTATTTGTTGGTGTATTCTTCTTTTCTTATTAATTAACCTAAAATATATATTTAAGAATTTAATATTTTTTTTTTATTAAAACAGGTTATATGGTCGATTTCAAGTCCATGTTTTTGACAAGCTTTTTAAACATGTTAGGTTAAAATTTGGGTCGTATCAATTTGAGTTAGACTCAAATTTAGCAAGAGATTATTACGTGCGGAGTTTGGACCAGAGAACTGTCCGATTTTTATGAGTGTGTACAATAAAAGCAGTTTCTGTTCATCAATGCACTTTTACTATGCACACTTACAAAAATTAGACAACTTCAATTCAGATTTCATTTGGGATGACTTTTTTACTGCTTTTTTTTTGGGGGGCAGGGAGTGTCGGCCTTCGGCCACTAATCTCCCTGGTCGGCCTAGCATGCAACCCACACCAATTTACAGGGCCAATTTACTGCTTCTTTTTTTTTTAGGGGGCAGGGAGTGTCGGCCTTCGGCCACTAATCTCCCTGGTCGGCCTAGCATGCAACCCACACCAATTTACAGGGCCAACACTTAATGCTGTCACGAAGCGCCGAGTGGATTCGAACTTGGGACCTGGCCTTTGGCCAGCCGAGTCTCCACCACCAGGCCACCCCGCGGTGGGTAACTTTTTTACTGCTTCTCAAAGCAGCTTTCTAATACAAAAATTTTTAACGAAATTAAAAAAAAACATCACAAAAAAAAATCTCACTCGACACATAATAATCTCTCCAAATTTAACTAGTTGATCCCTTGACCTATTTTGATACCTTGGCCGGAATGAAAGAAGTATAAAGGATTAAAAAAAGTATATATAAAGGATGGGTTTTAATTATTTTTATTTTATTCGCTTTTAAAAAAATAGGCATAGTTTTTAACGTCAACAAGCGAAAGGAATTAAAATAAAGAACTTCCGTACTATGTTAAGTTGAGCAATAAACATAGTTTTTGATATTTTAATTTGTTTTTATCCATTATTGACAGAGAGGAAGAGGAAAGGAGGGAGGAGGATGAGGCAGGAGGAGCCAAGGGTTTCGAGCTAGGGGACATGCTTCACCAAATAGGTCTTTCTCTTCGCATTCATAGATCCTATGTTCTTCTGCAATTGGGGATTTGTTGTTCTGGCTTTCTCGCGGCTTGATCCTGTGATTTCTGGAGAGTTTAAGGAATGGGGTTTTGGTAGATCGGCAGAGGATGAGAGATAGTGGGGTTTGTTGCTGTGATTTTGTTTTCTGTGGCTGTTGCTTTCTTACGCTGTTGATTTCTTTGAGTTTGGGGTCTTGGTTGTGGTTTTGGCTTTTTCGATGGAGATTTTACGAGTTTACTTGATTCTGAAATGTATTTTTGTTCTGTGAGTGATAGCATCGTTTGCTACAGTTCGGACTTTTAACCAAGTGTATGTGTCCGTGATTTTTGGAGGCGTTGAACTGAAGTAATCTTTAGGTCGAGGGTAGAGGTTTTCTCTCTTGCTTTAACCTTGTTTAGAGGAATTTAGTTTGGTGTGTGTGCTTGTTGGATGTGTGGGTAGAGGAAGTGAGGAACTAGATGTTGATATATTCTGTTGTGTATATTTTGTGATGGTGTTGTGAGACGCTTGTTTTCTTCAATATCAATGGATCTGTTGTGCTTAAGTATGAGAGGCTACTTCGGAATCAGCGACCAGTTTGTATGTAGGTGCTGTGTTGCCATTGACCTATGAAATGGAATTTATAACTAAACATTGTGACTTATGTTTTTGAATATGATCCAAAACTACTTGTGATATTAAAGATGCAAGTTGCTAACATAAGAAGCCCATAAGTTTTGTTTTCTAATCCTTGAATTCCCAAAAAAAATTGATGATGGTCCTTGTGGTATCATCAAGGAATTTTAAGGAATCTGGAGGCCTTATCTGGGTGTGGTGTCAAATTTTTATAAGGTGCTTAAGTGCACCATATGACATTAAGCTTCTATTGATCGCCTTGAAGGGATTGAACTGCCAATTCCATGGTGAAGAACTAAGTAAATTTATTGTTCAGGTAAAACCCCAAAACCCGTTCTTTTTATTGTCTTAAGTTGACAACCATAAAGCATTGAAAAAAAAGGAGAACTTCCTAGTTTTGTGCCAGGCCTAACTTTGGAGAAAAAATGACTTAGAAGGAAAATAGATGCACCCCATTTAAGATGCATAGTCAAACTTTATAAACCGTGAACATACTTTTTTATCCTCTACGACTAAAAGAATATGTGAGATCTTCTTAGTTACAGAATTATTCCAACGACATGTTCTCTGAAGCCTCACTGGTTTCAATATTAATAATGCTATCAAATGAATTGGTGTAATATTGATTTCTACCAATATTTTGGGCGTTTTTTTCATTGAAAACGGTATTTTCTTTGCTTAGCTCAAGTTACTTAGATATAGTATTGGAGAAAGGAGAATAAATATAATCACGGCACTCCTTTTCTGCTTGCCAGAAATACATCTATAAAGAAGAATTCAATATTGGAGATCAAATTCAACCATGAGGATCTTGCATGGTTCCATCAAAATTGAATAGTTTCCATTGGCCATGCCTTTTGGTCCAGTTGATTCAATTATAGGATGTGCTCCTCTTATGTTGAGAATTTCAAACTTCTAAGCGAAGTCAGTTCAATGCAAGATTAAGGTCATTCATCCTCTGGAGCACTCTTAATATCTTAAAATGTGGCGACAGGTATGATTTGAGGCATTTGTAAAATTGTGTGGTTGTTCATAATCAAGACATGCCGTTTGTGCTTTTACAGACATAAGGAAGGATTTAGTAGTGGACATGAAATTCAACCATGAGGGTCTTATGGTTCTTAAATATAAAATAGTGCCCATTGGCTCGAAATTTTGATATAGTCGGTTCAACTATAGGATGCACTTTTCTCCTCTTATGCTGAGACTTGAGAATGACCTTTAATTCAAAATTCCCAAGCTAGTGGAGTCTAATAGATTATTCATCCTCTTGAGCACGCACTTTGAATAACTTAAATATGGTACCATGTTTGATGTCAGGCATTTGTAATATTGTTTGGTTATTCGTAATCAAGACATGCCCTTTTTGCTATTCTACGATAAAATCACAAGTTAGGATTTGGTTTTAGACCTCAAATGCAACCATGAGGATCTTGCACGGTTCCTTAATATTGAAAATATTGTCCATTGGCATGACCTTTTGGTCCAATCGGTTCAACTTTAGGATGTACTTCTCTCCTCATATGTTGAGACTTGAGAATGGCCTTTAATTAAAGTTTTTGGGGAATGCAAGATTAGGATCATTCAACCTTTTGAGTACTCTAGTTAAATGTGGTGGTATGCATGATTTCAAGCATGTGTAAAATAGTTTGATTGTTCATGGGTTACATAAAAAATCTTACTCATGATGGATGATTAGATCTCATAAAATGGATTAGTCATTTTGTCAGATAGAATTTTTAAAATAGAATTTTGGGATGGTTTGTTTGGTCAGTTTATAATACTTATACCATGTTTAATGGCTTTTATTGGTGAATACAATTTTTCTTTGTGCTTTTATAGGCCATCCTGTGTGTGAAAGTGTGGGATTAGAGGAGTTGGTAATTTACCTTCATTGAAATATGGATGTTACAGGTTCTAATCATAGACAGGCTCATTGTTATGCAAGGATGGGGTTGCATATGTGATTTGTTGGGAAAATGTTACAGCTATATTTATAAGAATATTTATCATTTAAAACATTTACATTTAATAGATCCTAAGATTCTTCATGTTTGAGTTATGAATATTTGTAATTTCCTGAATGAAAAATAATGCTGGGTAAATGTCAAAATGATTTATTAATTTGAAATTAATTGGGCAAGCTAAAATGTATTATAAAACCGACAACCACTTCGGTTGAAATGAAAAAATTGCTTAAGAAAAGTATTATTATCGTATCATTGTATCATTGACAAGCTGATCATTTTAATGCATTAAAACAAGGAATACAAAATGTTATTGACTACATGAATAAGTTTGAGGACTTTCTATTGTTTTTTTTTTTGAATAATTGAAGATCCTAAAATTATGCTAAGTATGGATTTAGTTTAAGGCTCCACATCAATAGTGAAATGACATGTTATTATATTTACTCAGGCATGCTATCCAAATTTTATTAGATTTTGAAGATATGTTGAAATTTCCTAACAATAAAAGAATATCTCTTCGTATTGCATTTGGTTCTAATATTTCTTCATAGACTTGTTTTAAGTATCATTAGACTTATCACTATGCAAACGCATGTATAATTAGGAGTTTGCATTTTAATGTGGAATATGTTGATGGAAGTAATTAGGGAGATAACGTCCATAAATTTGATGCAAAATAAGTGATTTTGAAGATGCTTTTAATAGAATATTCTTAAATTGTGATGCAATGTATTATTGCCCTACCTAAAATTAGGGGTGTAAATGAGTCGAACCGTATCAAGGATAAGCCCAATCAAGCTAAACTCTTTAATACTTATTGAGCTTGAATTCAAGCTTGAGCTCAATCGAACTTAACTCATTTGAAAACTGTTAGGCTTAAGCTCCGCTCGATTACTCATGCTCATTAGGAAAGCTCAAGCTTGGCTCGAGCAATAATTAAAAATGCTTTGTATGTATTTCATTATATTATTTAAAATATATTTTAATTTAAATGAGCGGCGCAACAAGCTTACGAGTTGAGCCTAATTGAGCTTGAGCTTGTATAATATACAAGCTCGAGTATATGCTCCTGCTTGAAATCATTGCTCGACAATCATGAGCTCAATAAGTCCAAATCATGAGCTGGTTAATGAGTTGAGTTCGAGTTGGCTTGCAAGCTGACTATGCCCATTTGCACCCTTACCTAAAGTTGAGTATGTCCGGAAAAGAATTCTATTTCAAACATTAAGCATGATGAAAAATTATGTAAGCTCATGATAGATGGTGGGAGATTTTATGGCTAAATTTAGTTTTAATTGCGTCAAACTATAACCTTAAGTACAACTAAAACTATAGAAAATAACATGGTAAAGATAATATTTTTGTTGCACAAAAAAATGTTTAGTGCCAATTTAATTTGGAACATATAATGATAAAATGTGGTGTGATATTTTACTTCTAGATGTAACACATTATTTTAGTCAATCATGTTTATATTATTTATATTAAAATGATAATCCTTTAGGACCCTTCATGCGGCTTCATGAGATGTGACCCGACAATGCCTCAGATGCACGATTTATGGGACTTTGATAGGGGAAAGTATTGGGTTTAGACACCGGACGTCGTCCCGGGCCAATAAAAATGCGCCACATCACCCTCTACTCGGCACTGATCAGTACTTCATAGTATCGAGCTCAGTACTGCTCGATACTGTGAAGTACCAAACTCAGTACTTCATAGTATCGAGCTTAGTACTGCTCGGTACTGTGAAATACCAAACGGTAAGCTGTGTCCGGTGTTCGAACCTAATAATTTCCCCTTGATAGGGCATATGATGATTTGATAAGGATTTTGATTTGTATTTTTTAAATAATAATAATAATAATAATAATAAAGTTATATTAATTTCATATTGAAAAGAGGAGTTAATTGTGTGCTGATTCTTTCCTGCACAATTTATCATTTAACATGCCTCGAATTTCATGTCATCACCTCACACGCTTGCAAATTTGTGTTTCACTTTTGTCTGGCTACTCATGCAATATTGGTGTTCTTTTTGGATAATCTTGATGTTTCGGGTTTGTTGGTGTCGTCCGTTTCCGAGTGAACGATGTTTAAACTACTTTTGAGTGATGGGTCAGTAGTTCGTCTTTTTTCCATGATTGATCAAATTGTGCTAGAGGTTCTTTCTTGATAAATTAGATATTAATGACAACCGACGGATTCCATTTTGCTAACGTATGACGTTTGGGTGGTTTCTACTGTGATTGAGGTGTTGCATATGTGTGACATTTGGGTGGTTTTGATTTTGATTGAGGTGTTTCAAACTCGTTTTGCATAATGCCGCGTTAGTTGGCCGCCGTTCTTGTTTTCACTCGAATTGATCGGGAGACACATACGGAGATCAACAATTACATTAAAAAAATTAGTTTAAAGTCATTTTGAGGACTAACAAATTCTGATAAAAAGGTTTGAAAGGAAGTTAAGGAGAACTCTTCGGCATCTTAATTCATTCAATCATGTGTGCATGCGGCATGATGAGAAGATGGAACTGAAGTGTGGGTTTTCATGTTTTTTTTTGATTGATATGCAAACTTTTTTTGGTGTTGCTTGATTGGAATTAAATTTGTCTTCGACATTTGCCCCCTATTTTGATGCCATTATAGTTTAATCTTTTGTGCTTTCATTAGCAATTTCATTGTCGGAATGCACAATTGGCTTCACATTCATGCCTGTTTTGTTTTGTATTTTGGTCACATACTTGCCTTTAGGCGCATGTTTTGTAGGTTTGCCTCATTTATGTTTGTATGCGTCGTGATACGACATTTTGGCAACCGCTTGAAATAATATTATTTCATGCCTATTTTATTCATGCCTACACTTGGGCTGATCTCATGGGGGAGAACTTCAAGCCTATAAGTACGGGCATTGTGCATATCATTATTATATTTGTTTTGGAGTTTGTAGCTTGCAAGGAGTGACGAGGCGTTTATGTTTGTACTTGTTGGCAAGCTACCAAAGGTTATGCGAGTGTTATGCTACTCCTTGTGTGCATTTTAAGACGTTTTTCTCTTTTTTTTTTCCGCACTTTTTGTATGTAATTATGTTGCAATATTTTTATTGCTTTTTCAAGTAAAATTTGGATAAATTTCGGCAATGCTTTTATGTCAACCCAGTAATGGTGTAGCAAGAAACATGTCGAGTTTTCCCAACACATTAAGAAATGAGTTAATGGATTGCATACAAGTATGAAACTTCTAGACAAGTATATTTGTACCCACCATGCCAAAAATTGATGTGCATGTGCATTTTAGAGTGATTTGCTGGACAAATATATTACAAAATAAAAAATAAACCCCCATCACATCAATAAAGTTACACGTGGGGAGCTTGCGAGTAAGCCAATAAAATAACACCTTTCATACCTTCACTCGGTGTAGTGAGGTATTTGCGATAGGGTGGGAGCAAAATGGAGAGGTGTGCTAGAGAGAGGAGAGAGAGAGGTTGGAGTGAAAGGGGGAGAGCTAGAGTTTCGGGAGCTGTGTAGGCTAGAAAAAGTGGTGAGAAAGTTGGCACAAGATAGAAGGAAAAAGGGCGAGGGAAATGAGTGTTTTCATTTTATTTTATCTCTATTTGAGGGGATTGTTAGAGCTTTCAAAATTATTATCATCGTCATCATAATTATTTTATTATTATTTTAAAAATAAGCAATGCTAATTGCTCCCATATGAGTCCAATATGAAGATCTAATGGGAATTGAAAGGCTCCTACCATTAGGTTAGATAGGTATGAGGGAAAGGTGGGGGGGTTGCCCCCCATAATTGGTGTTTAATTTTTATTTTTGAAAAATATTAACGGGATTATATATATATATATATATACTGACATATATGTTAACATTTATTTATAACTGAACATATATTTAGGGACAAATGTATGCCAAACATGGATTTATTTTTAGAATGGTTAGTCGTGTTTGTGCATGTGCATGCAAATTTGATGTAAATTTTCTCTCCTATGCACGACCTTTTTTCATTCTCTCTCCAAACCAAGAGAGAAATGGAGGACTTTGATGCTGGCGTCGAAGCATTAGTACACAATTTTGGGCCATTTCTAGATGGAGGGCTTTGACATGAGTGTCAATGCATCAGTGTGCAATTATGGGCCATTTTGAGATCGTGGCAATCGCTTGCTTTCTCTGATGCCAAATTTGTGGCACTTATATTTAGGTCAACAAAGACCACCTTTCAATCCAAAATTTACCTATACTTAAAAATTGTCTTTGGCATGCCACAATAAAAATTTTGATATAAAATGTGTCACTTATGTTTTGGTCAACAGAGATGACCTTTCAATCCAACTTTCAATCCAAAATTTACCTATACTTAAAAATTGTCTTTGGCATGCAACAATAAAAATTCTGATAACGATTTTTAAGTGCAACGAATATTTTAAATTCTACAAATTTTTTTTTTTCAAAAAAGTAGCGGATGCTACTCACCATGAAAGGATGTCATGCATGAAAATTTTTATGCCATGGTGTTACTTTTCGTCCTTACTGGCACTTTAAATTGCCTTAACTAGCTAAAAACCATTTATGAAAATGGAGAACTTTCAATCTTGACTGTTGCTTTTTTCTTAATATTGTTTAAAACTTTATTAATTATTAAAAATCATTGTCTTATTAATTCAAATATTCTGATGGTTTCCGTTTGGTTTTTTTGGCCACATGGCAGTCAGTTGAAGATAGCCGCCTATTTGCTTTGTAAAGGTCTGCTTGCAGTAGGAAATGTCCTGTGAGAATCGGAAAGGCACTGAAATGCAAAACATGAACAATAAGGATTCACAACAAAATTTAGTTCAATCAACATGCAACTATCTTAGTAATAGCTTTCCATGGTGGAATTCAGGTGGACCTCATATTGTGTTGTACCCTACTACGACTAATTTATATGCCAACGCAAACTCTCTGGCATTAAATCAGATAAAACAAGTTGGAAATCAGAATCAAGAGCAAGAGTCGTCATCAACACAGTCCACTGGACATTCTCATCATGAAGTGTCTGGAAAGAGAGAAGATAACCTCAATGAACGATGTGTCTCAGCACAATCTGGTGCAATTCATGATAAGGCAGATGAAAAAGGTATCTTCTTCCTTCTGCATGGCCTATTTCTCTAAGATAACTCTCTCTGATTTTCTTAATCAAATGAACTAAATTTTTCTTTCTTCTCATGTTTGTTCTATTTAGCAAATTATAGCTATAGTTTGTATTTCTTTAATGGTTTAAGTGTTGCATGATTTGTTTTCCATGACTGCTGCAAACTTCTTGAAGCAGCCGCCCATATTTAATTACGTTCTTGAATTTCTTTGAATTGATTTGAAGAATTTGAATTCGCATGTCTTTGATTATGTAGCACCTTTGTCCTGGAGATAATGAAAACTTTCTTGAGTTGGCTAAGTTATTTGTTCAATTTCCTGCTTTGGGGGTGTCATGCACATTTGATGTTTTTTTGATTTGTTTCATCATACTTCTGCTTTTTCATAAGCATCTTGAAATATCTGCGGTATGCTTATTCTCCTTGATGCTGCATCACATTTCATTTTAAGAGTTTCTGGCTTTCTTAGAGTAATGTAGTTCACTTTTACAGTCTTTGATGTGGCCTCCTTCTAATACTCCCTTTCTTCTTTTGCGGCCATCAGATGTGTTCTACTATTGTTTTAAAGAACCCTGAAAATTCTTTATTAACTAAAAATTGTTTTATATAATTTAATGAAACAGAAGTGCTCTAATTAATTTTATAAAGCATTCTGTTTGTTTTAGTGTTTCTGATCGTGGAGCATAAAGATTTGTACTATAAGGACTGCAGAAGCGGACTTGAATGGTCTTAAGGGGATTCTACTGGCGCTGGTTTTGATGCTTTGGTATACACAAATGTTTATCATTTCATGGGAAAAGTTTCTTGCGCTCTAGATTAGGCAAAAAGGGGTATGATTGTTGGGCAGGATTCATAAATCTGAAATGAATTCATTGATTAAGGGCTATGGTTACAGCTTTTCCTGTGCAATTGATATTTCCATTCTATCTGTATAGCAGGAATTGGAAAATTCTAAACCATAATTTTGTGCACAGTGAAAATTTAAGAATGATTAAAATGGGCGTGTGCATGTTTTTTATGTTAGCTATATGACGTAGTTTATTTTTTTTATTTTTATTGACTTGTTAATAAGATGTAACCTTGTCTTTTAGGGCATTAAAATATATAATTTTATAGCATTTTGGTGTTATAAATTGGACTCTTTTAGTTATATGCAATGACTTTGGTACAAATAACCATTCAGAATTCTTACTCTTTGGTATGCTTTAGGTGATGAACGCATGCATGAGAAGCTTGAGCAGGGTCATCCAAAACAGGTTTTATCAGCAGGGAGCACACAATTCTTCTATGCACCACAAAAACTTGATTGTAATCAGTCTCTTGTATGTTTTTTTTTTTTAAATTATAATCCTTTTGATTTTTCAGGCTTTTAACACCCACATGGGTACAAATTTGTATATGTATGGATTGAGTGCCTCTCTGTACCTGTTGTTGATTATTATTATTCTGTTTTTTTCCTAGCAGGCTTATCTTCCTTATGCCTATTCGGATGCACACTATGCAGGAGTCATGGCTGCTTATGGTTCTCATGCCGCTGTGAGTTCTTTTTTTCATTGCGATACTTAAATTTTTGCCATGTTTTCTTGGGCGCATTTTATGATAAAATTATAGAGGGATTACTGTGGAGTGAAGCTTGTCACATCCATGTTTTGATAGTGTGCACTTGCTATCGTTCAATGATTTTGGGTGAGGCTTTTTTTCCCGCATGGGGTGTTGAGTGAATCATATATATCATTTCTAGTATGGCTTTGATTTGAATCGTATTAGAATTAGTGTATGTGTGATTATAGATAAGAGTGTGAAAAATGATGTTGTAGAAATTAGTAGAATTAGAAAAAAATTATAATTTTAAATATTATTGTTGATGCTAATTAACATTATTAATATTATAAGGGCTTGTGTTTCTCAAATATATTTGTATATGTTTTTAAAATTAAAATTTTGGAAGGACGTAGGGGTTGTTTGATTTGAAGTAAAAAGAGTTTAAAGTATTTCAAATGCAGGGGTTTTGAGAATATTGCTGTTTGGTTTGAAGTAAAATAAATGCAATGTAAAATTTTGATGCATTTGAAATTCACCCTCAAGTTCATTTTTGGTGTATTTGGAATTTCTCAGATTTAGGCGAGTTCCAAAGACACCATAAATTCATCTCTTTTGTCACCGCCTGTCGCCAGCTGTCACTGTCGTCGGCTGCCTGCATCGACATCGACGACTATTGTTGGCCACCACCGCTATTGCCAACCACCGACCACGATTGTCACCACCTATTGCCTCTAACCGCCACCATCGTCGCCGTCGACCGCCGTCTATTGCTGTTGACCACCACCACCATTGTTGCCTTTGATGTTGATCACTACCCACCGCCCATCGCCCACCACCGGTCACCACCAACTATTGCCAGCCACCTCCACCCATTGTCGGTGTAACAATCCAAAATGTGAAAAAGTATTTTAAAATAAAAATTTGAATTTTTTTTTGAACTGGAGCGCTTTAGCGTTGTGCTTGGTAGCGCTGCGTCGCTAGGCTTGAGAGCACATCGGCACCAGAAATTGCCTTTATGGCATTGGAGTTTTTGTTCTATAGTAATTCTGAATTCAATATGCAACATTAGACAACTAATATATATATATATATATATATAAGCACTAAAGT